TCTTCTATATCCATTTTTTCATGTTTCCTTTGTTGAACAATAGCAGTTAATTCTGGTGATTCATTGTCTGATGAAAAATTGCTATCAGAACTCGTACATGTCTATTATATCATAGCAAATTATTTTTATTGGGGGAAGAAAAAAAAAACAAAAAAAATTTCAAATCATTCAATTTCTGAATTATTACATTTACCTCAAATGAATTATCGAAATATTTATTATATAGACGCGAGCCTTCCATTGAAGGTCTTGTGATATCTGCAGACCATGATGATGTTTGTAATATTATATCATTTATAGCTGCAACAGCTTCTGTAGCTTCGTTTTTAAATGGATCGTCGTCAGATTCTGAAGATCCTTGCTGTTATTTAATCAATTTCAATTAGTATATGTCTTATTTCATTTGATCAACTATTTTCATACCCTGTCAGCTCTATCTGCTAATTTATTCCGTAATTTTGATGATTTTTGAGGTGATCGCCAAATGCGAAAAGATTGAAATGGATCAGTTGAAGTACTTGCTCCATGACTACCAAGTGGCTCCTGGGAAGATGTTGAGGGTCTTGGCTGGTGTTTTAAATAAATATCAATTAATATTTGTCCTATATCACTTGATCAATTATTTTAATATCTTATTCAAATATAATATTAAGTATTGTAACAACGTAGTTTCAAAAAACAAATGTAATATATTACCTCGTATTGGGATGAAGTTGCAGTATCCGGTTTTTTATCAGGATCCTTCATATATCTACATATTTTTATATGCAATTCAATTTGAGATATAGGAACGTGATGATTAGGATTAATAGGACATTGAACAAGTTCTTCGTCGCTCATCTGTATGCATGAAAAAAAGAAGTTAATATTAAAAATACACACAATTAAATATTAATAAAATTATAAAAGAAAATATCGCAGATAATTCCAATAAATTACCTCGCTTAAAAATTGTATGCAATTATAAGATATATATAGATATATATATATGTAAGAGACTTTTTAAAAATTAATTAAAAAATAATTTAAAAAATTTATCAGAATAAAAAATTAATCATAATTACACTTATTTTCACAACATCGATTGTTGTTTTATGAAAAATAACTTTCCCAAATTTACTATTATTATTACGGTTTTTCTTTTATCGGTTGTTTTTTCTATCAATGTTTTAATTCATTAATTGAAAAAACAAAAAAAAAATAAAAAAACACAATCCAAAAAATTCGATAAGTAAATATTTAAAAAAAATACTTGTCATAATTAATTACAATTAATCAAATTTTCTTAATTTAGATTTTATGAGCACATTATAAGTAATGCTTGTCTATCAAACTTACACAAACTGACAAAATTAACAAAATTAACGTTAAAGTTAAATTGGAATATAATAAAATTCGAATACAAAAAACAATTCTTGAATCGTTCGATTCTCAAGTATCGAATCTCGAATTACGATATATTTACACGCATTATTTAAGTAAAGTCATGTTATAAATTGTAGACTAACTTGTTAATAATTAATTAAACCAAGTTTATATGATTTATTTGATAAAAATTGTTCTCAAAAAAACATATTTTCCTTGAAAAATTACTTGGAAAAATATCAATAATTTTGTTCATTTAATTGATATCTCGAGGATCGAGTCTAATTTCGATTACCGAAATATATCGAAATTCGTAATCAAAAACGTTATCTGTGACATTGGACACGTTAATAAACATTTGTTTTTATTATAAAATTAAGGATAGGAAGAAAAAAAATAAAATAATATTATGATATTTAAAGTTTCATGTATAATTTATCCAACATATATATAAATTTATATAATATAATTAATGGTATTATTTTTTTTAAATTTTTAAATTTTATGAGTAATTTTCTGAATTTTTCTTTCCGTAAGGACCTCCTACAAAGTATTAGAAAACTTAAAAAAAAAAGATGAATGAAATCGGTAAAGTAGTTCTCAAGTTATGGCGTGACCAAGGGAAACAAGGAGATTCACATTTTATATATATATATAAATATATTTATTCAATATTATAAATTATTTCAAATAAATATATTTTTTTTGTGAACATTTTTTTAAAAGTTTACATAAAAGAATTCTTTTTGTCAACATAATATGTGATAAATATATTTATGCATATAAATTAGTCAATTATTTTTCTATATATTCTTGTCTCTTATTATAAAAACAAAAAAATACTTTTGAAACAATTGAAACCCTAATATGTCAGAATACATATCTTGAGTCTAAAAAATATCTGGCTTACAATAAAATACAACTTTCATAATAACCGATTCACATAAATAGGTGGAATATATCAAACTGAAAGTATGATATCATTCATTTAATATTTACAGATATGACAATGCAAGATTATTATATAGCCAGTCAATAATCTACTCTACTATCTCCATAGTACACCGATTAATACAGTTGATTATGAACAGTTCAATGACACTCTTTTTAAATAAAGAAAATTTATATCTTTTTGCATAGACAATCAATGCAAATGATTATCATATAATTAGCACGAAGAAAATATATATATATATATGCACATCTATATAATACATATGTACATATCAATGAAGCATGTAATTTATTCGACTAACAATAAATAAGATTCAAGGTCGATTTAAAAAAATATCCAGTATTAATCGAAAAATGTATCATTCTCGTAGTAAATTAATTTATTATACCACGATAACACATGAAGCACATCTTTCAAGGTCTTTTTTATTGTATTTTTTTTCTTCTTCTATTTGTGATTCATTAAAAAAAACATTATCCGTGTTAATTTCATATTTTTAAAAGTCTTCTATATAAAAAATACAATTATCGGTTTTACTTGATTGTAAATATATTTTATTATAAATAGATAGTATCTTTTTTTTGATAGTATATAATAAACGATTTTAATGCAGATGCACACAATTATTTGTAATTTTATTGATTCATCTTTTATTATCTTTTGCAAGTCTTAGGTGTAAATTGTGTGTATATGTATAATTATATCGGTTATAACATATATTTATAATTATGTTATATATCTATGAATAATCTCTTACAATATTATAAATAATATTGCTGTATATATCTTCTGTACAAATAACTATAATCATTATGACTCTTACGTATATACAACAAAGTTATTTTTGTCGAAAGATTACATACAATAGCGTGCATCACTTATACTTTATCCTATATAATTTTATAATACTAATTAACGCGCGCGCGAGAAAGAGATGGAAAGAAATTAACAAATTAATTAAATATTCTTAATTATTAACAAACAAACAAAAATATATATATATATATATAATTCTTTTATTCAATACACAAACGATTGATAAGAAAAATATATTAAAACTCATTAAAAATTGAAATGTAAAAAAAACGATTCGAAGTAAGAATTTGTTCCACACAAAAAAAAAAGGAAAAAAAATGAAAAGAATAATGATATCTCTCTTTCTCTCTTTTAAGTACTTTACTAATAATAAACTAAAATATCATATTCTCTCTCTGTCTTTCTCATTTTTTTTTTTTTTTAGAAAAAAAAAAACAACAAAAAAAACATGAGAAGTTTAATCAGTGACAAATTGTATGTCATATTTTTTGTTTGTTTTTTATTTACCGAGCACAATGCTTCAGTATAATATAGTCGAGATAAAATTCCATAAGAGTGATGAGAGAGAGATAGAAAGAAAGAAAGAACAGCAACCAAAAAAAAAAAAGAAAAAAGAGAGAGAGACTCCTCAAGCAGACTGTACGTCTTTGATCAACTTACGCTTTCGTTCCAGTTTCTTTTGTATATCCTGAAGAGTCTTCCCTTTCGTTTCAGGGACGAAAAAGAAGGAGAATACCACTGACAAGGCAGTGAAACAAGCAAAGGTCCAAAAAGTAATAGCTTCACCCATGACGTTTTCCATCTTTGGAAATAACTTGGTAACAGCAAATACAAGACTCCAGTGTACCATAATAGAGATGCTACTTGCTACTCCTTTAGTCTCCGGTGGAAAAAGTTCGCTTATCATCGCGTATGGTACCGATCCGTAACCGATTGAAAATACAACATTGTATAAAGAAAGTGTTGTTAATGGTAACCAGCCAAGAAAAAGTATATCCTTATGATCGGCTTTTATTTTAAAGTAATAACCAAGGACACCTAAACACAGAGTCATTGCTATTCCAGATATCAGGAGTAATGGTTTCCTTCCAAATCTACAATCAATTTCAAAATAAGTATATATATATATATTTTTTATGTGATAGGATAATAAGGAGATATTTGAAAAACAAAAAAATATAGATCATCCCTTACCTATCGATAATGAAAGCAACACATATAGTCATAATGACCTCGATTAAACCAATAACGATTGTCGCAACGAATGGTTCGATGGTGCTACCAGCATTTTGAAATATTCTAACAGTGTAAAATAAAACAGCATCTATTCCGCACATCTGTTGGAACCACATAAGACCCAGGCAAGTACCAAAAGCTTTTCTTCCAGCTTTAGTACCAATTAAATCCATGATACCACCTCTTTTAGTCTCAACTCTGTCGGCCTCATCTTGCAACGTTGAAATTTCTTCTTTAACGTCGTAATTAATTCCACGTAAGATTTGTAATACTTTAACTGCCTGAGATTTTTTTTCCTTGTGTACCAACCACATAGGTGATTCCGGTAAGAAGATAATGATAACGAGAAAAATGATTAATACCGAACAACAGGAGACGTTGAAAATCGTATAAGAAAGATAGGCACCCATAACGTAAGAAAATAATATGCCGAATGAAAATAAAAGGGGAAAAATGATACCAAGCGTACCCCTTATCGACGCTTGTGCTATTTCCCCGATATAAACCGGTACCAAAACGCACGCAGCACCGGATCCGATACCACCAATGAAACGTGCCACGTATACACCAATAATATTTCTTGTAAATATCAGTGTAATCCAGGATATTAAAAAGGGTATTGCTGTTAAACCCATTGCTAATTTTCTACCAAAGAAATCAGCTATTTTTCCAGCTGGCACTGCACCCAATATTGCACCCAATGCTAATAACGATGTTATCCAAGAAGTTTCGTCCTCCGTTAGATCAGGAATAAAGGATTGTTTTGAACCGAGGAATGGTAAAATTGGTGAAGTCCATCCTAAATTCATTCCACTTTGCATACCAATCAAACTGGCTGGAAATAATTCACATTGATATATATAATTCACGATTATATTTTATATATTATTTAATAGTTCCTTTATATATCTGTATATATACATTTCAGAAAATGATTATTACACATGATATCAATGATTATCACATATGATAATTATATATACATTAGGAATGAAATTATCAGCTGATCAGAATTCGAAGATACGATGCAATCATATTTCGATACGTAATCTGTATTTGTGCATACATACGTGTGTAGAAGAGTATCTAATGGAATAGTTTTTAGGAAGCTACAAGAATTTCGATAACAAAGATAAGTTTTTAATGCAGGATTCTCGTTTAAATTGAAAAAAATGAATCAAACTACACGATATTTTATCTCTAATAGAGCTTATTATAGTTCGCGACAGAAGGTATCTTTATTGACTACATAAATCTAGAATAATGAGCTGGGTTAAAATCACTCCTAAGTATTTACGTAAACTACTTTCTGTTTTCTTATTGAAATATATTTTTATAAAAATAAAATCGACATCGATTTTTCCGGTTGAAAATAAATATTACATTTTCATATGGAAATAACTTAAAACAAAACAAAACAAAAAGAAAGAAAAGTAAACGTTAAAAAGCTCACCACTGAATGTGACGATGTATTGAAACAATTTTCTTTCTTTTTGGGAATTTCGAGCCTCCTCTTCATTACTTTCATTTTTTATAGAATTTTCATCATTTTTCCCAAGAAATGGAATGGAACCATTAACATTCTCCTTATTTGGATCCATGATCAACTTGCCGAACAGTGGAAACGTTTTGTCATCGAAGTAATTTACGCGACTAACTTAATTCGGCCTGTTTTATTTGAGATAGAACGTCTTTTAACAGTCAGAACAAACTGTCAGAAACTTACTTATGAGCTGTGCATGTTCTTTGCCCTCACCCAATGGTACAGTACCTTATCTCAACGATTTACACATTATATTTGTATCGTCGTCGCACGCAACGTCAATTCTATTCGGCGTTAAAAGAGATGATGACAATGACAATGATGATGATGATGATGATGATGATGATAATGATGATGAGATGATGATTGTAATGATTGACTCTTCTCACAAAATATCATTATCTATAGAGAAGTGTTTCCGATATTTATTAGATAAGATCTCAAATAATTAGATCATTTACTTTTTTGAAATAGTTAGACATTTTATTCACAAATTCAAGGGGGATATTTTTTCTGTTTGACATCATCGTTTAAAAAAAAAAAAAACAAACAAATTAATATAATTAATACAAATATTATTTATCCATAGAAAGATGTTTGGTATCTTAATTAATGTGACATATAATTTATTCGTTAAATTATATTATTTTAAATTCAATGCTACGGGGTATTTTTTTTTATTGTATCTATCCCTAATCGCAAAAATGTAATATTTGTGTCATACGGTAGAATTTTATTTTTTCTACTTATTAAATTAATTTATATCATCTTTTTTTTTTCCAATCATTATAGAAAATTCGTAAACACGATATTTATATCATAGATATGTATAAATGTTATTTTCTTTTTTTTAATGATGAAATTTAACAGGGAACTTGGACATGAAAGAAGTAGAACTATGTTTGATTTAG